AAAAAAAAAAAAAAAAAAAAAAAAAAGAAACTGCCTCAAAAACTACAGAAAAATGAGTTAAATTTGATGTACACAAGTTGTACATTGGTAGTGTGTTAACATTTGATAATGTAGCACCTTGGAGTGAGCTATTTAAATGTAGCTTTAAAGTAGTTAAATAACTTAATAGAGGTAATATTATAGAACATATGTAGTGCCACTGGGCTATATGCAGACCATTGCCTACTTATGCTGGTTCCACTTCATGATTTTTCAACTTTATACTGGTGCAAAAGCAGTATATATTCAATAGAAACCATAACACAGATTTTGAATTTTCATCTTTTCCCTGGCTAGCAACAGATGTGTGGTATAGTACTCTGTGGTCGTGTTTGACAGCAGTAGTGAGTTGCAGCTCCCACTCAGCCCCATGATCAAGAGGGGAAGCAACTGAGACTATCGTTAGTGTACTGTGCTGCTAAAGCTATCATGTTCATTAGTGTAGGTGTGTACTAAGTGTGTTTCCTACTTGTGATATTTTCAACTTATCATGAGTTTAACATGACATAACCCCATCATAAGTCAAGGAGTGTCTGTGCTTAAAATGGCAAATTTTTCAGTCATGAACATTTCACTATAATGAAAAGTGATATATTTTTTAAAAATCTCAATTACATAGTTTTGGAAATACAGTTCGAAAATTACTGTCCTACAGGATAAATTCAAATACCTGTACATGACATCTAAGGCCCTTTATGATCTGTCTCTCACCGGCCTTTGGCCTCATTGTCATTTTCCATCTCATGACTTACACTGTAGTCACACTACCCTACTGAAATTCCAGAATGTATGTTTTTCTCACAAACGTGCTTTGGCATGTATAATTTCTTCTGCTTGGAATGCCTTTACACTCTACTTTCCTACTTTTCTTCCATTGATACTGTCCTGCTCATCCTTCGTGATTTGCTCAGATGTCTCTTGTGTTCTGAAGGCTTCTTTTACATTTCCAGGTAAAGTTTACTACTCTCCTATGAGAACACATTTTATTTTATTTTACTTTATTTTATTTTATTTATCTTTTGAGAACACATTTTAGCTGTACATGTCTCCTCCTTAACATCCTATTTACAATTATTTGTTTATGCCTATCTCTCCTTTTAGACTATGTATTCCTTGAGCAGAGATTGTGACTACTCATCTTTATATTTCTAATACCTCACTAGCATAGTGCCTAGAATTATACCTATTCACGAAATGTTCAATGAATAAAGGACTTAGATATGTGGGATGAGAAAAGAGGAGGAGTCCAGAGTGAATCAGAGTTGTTATTGGTTGGTTGACAGGTTAGAGGGTAAGACAATGAAAAGGAACTGTTCCTGAAATAGAATACATTTTCAGTGAAAGATGATTTTGTTCTGTTCAGTGTTTTTAAACAGTGCCCTAGCACAGTGGAGGTATTCAGTAAACAGTCAAAGTACAGGCTTGGGCATCAGGAAAGAAGTCTGGTTAGAGCTGGATGTGGTGGTACATGCCTGTAATTCCAGCACTTGGGAGGCTGAGACGTGAGGATCACTGTGAGTACACTGCACTACAAAGCAAGAGCCTGTCTCAATCAATCAATCAATTAATAGTCTCGTTAGAGATACAGATTTTTTTTTGTCTTTTTGAGACAGTCTCACTGTGCAGTTTAGGCTGGCCTTGAGCTCACATTGTAGCCCAGGCTGGCCTCGAACTCACAATGATCCTCCTGCTTCAGCCTCCCGAGTGCTGGGATTATAGGCATGCACCAGCATGCCCAGCAAGAGATACAGATTTGAGGAATCTTTAGTTTATGGGTGTTTATTGGACCTCTCAGTACAGATGAAACAACACAGGGCAAGTATACTGTGTATATTAATAATTTGAGACACTTCCAAGAGAATAGCAACATTTAATGGAAAAGAGAAAGAATGTCCCACAGAGTAGATGGGGAATGAGTGAGAACGGGGGATGCAATAGTTGCATGGTTCTGGAGAGAAGAATTAAGAGCTCAAGAATTCTGTATATAAATTTTCTAACAAACCTCCGTTTGGCCCCATGTCTCCTCCTTCCATACTACCTGCTACCTCTGAGTAAGCAAATTAGCTTATTTCTACGTACATGTAGATGAAAGATTGAGACCATGAATTTAGGAGCTCTACAACTTACATTTGAATCCTGACTACCATATGTTAGCTGTATGATCTTGGGCAAGTTACCTAATCTCTTTGAGGCTCAACTTTCATTTTTTTATCTTGGTACTTTTTATAATATAAGTTCACTAACATGAGTCAATGTGTAACAGATACTTCCAGAATATTTTCCTACAACCATCAGGGATGCGTGAATGCTGTTTTCTTACATTCTTGGAGCTTTTCTGGAGCTTTTCAGTTAAGGAAAGCCAAGAGAAGTTTCTCTGAACTGTCATTAGATATTTTTTATAATATTAAAACTCAAAGGTGATACAGAATTCTTAATCATAAATTAATTAGATCTAAATTGATTATTCCACCTACACTGTATACTTTTATTCATAGTTTTGAGTGGGAGTGATACATATGTATAATTCTACATTATGCTGAAGCCTCTTTTCTGAACTCCAGCCTATATTTTTATTTGAAATATCAGATTGGGATATAAGAATTTGGCTATTTTAAAATTATTATATCTAGGAAAATGTACTTTTGCAGGGTACTTCATGGCTGTACAATTTATGATTTAGAAACATTGGAACTGGTCTTGACTGGACTGAGTTGGGGCTCCTCTTGGGTAGCTTACTCCTCATATAAAAATATTTCTTTGATTACTCTTCTAATTTGAAAATTTTGGTTTGTATTGGATTCCCTTACACTTACTCAGTAAACACTTAGTTAGCATTTAGTAGCTGGTAGATTCCCTACTGTAGAGTAATTCCATCCATTTGAACTATGTTATCCTCTTACAATTGCTTGCTTGCTTTTAGAACATTCACAACCAGGTTATTTTCTTGGCTGAGAGTATGAAAAAATATCAGGAAATTGATAGTCACAATAAGGGTGAAGAACAGGACCCATGAAAGATGCCATTAGAGAGGAAATTGGAGTTAGGATCTTATAAATCTGCTTGTTTCAAATTATAAGGGAGTCCAAAGTATGGCTGAATAAGTAAAAGGTAGAATAGAACTAATAAGGATGCCATTTGTCTTACTCCATTTCTGCTACTTTAACAAAATACTTCAGGTTGGGCAATTTGCAAACAATAGAAATCCATTTCTCACAATTCTGGAAGCTGAGAAATCCAAGATTGCAACACTAACAGAATTGGTATCTGGTAAGGTCATCTTTTCACTATGTCCTTGCCAAAAAAAAAAAGACCTGGGAGGGCGAAAAAACAAAATTAACACTGTCCTTGCACGACAGAAGGGACAGAAGGACGTAGAGGCCTAGCTAGTTTCCTTTAACCCTTTTAAAAGGCATTAAGCCCACCTACTTGGGCAGAAACTTGGTGACCTAATCACCTCCTAAAGGCCTTAGCTCCTAGTACTGTTACACTGGAGATGAAATTTGAACATGAATCAGGGAAAAGATGCACAATTCAACTATAACACCATCATTTATCATTAAATGTTGCTTTATATATGTAGTATCTTATTTAATTCCCATTACAACCCAATATGGTGGTTATATTTGCCTCATTTTATGAGGAACTTGCCCAAGATCTATCTCTAGTCATTGACAGAGCCAGGATTAGAACCTAGGGCTGTCTGACACCAAAACCCATGCACTTAACCAGTGTACTATACAGCCTTTCCACAGTAAACATAATAATGGAAAGTTAGGTATTTTAGAGGGACCTCAGAGGTTACCAAATGTTTGAAGAGAAACCTCAGAATTAAATAAAGTGATAAATAATTTTTATCCTTTTTGAAGCAATAAAAGGAAAGGTATTCCAGGGTGGCATAAAAAACAACATAGGACTTGACTGAAATCCTGAGATGGAATCTCAGACCCACCACTTACTAACTGTAACCTTAGGCAAGCCATTTAATCTCTGATCTATTTTCCTTATCTGTAAAATGAAAATGATAGTAAGAATAATGCTAATAAGGTTGTAAAAAGTATCTATTCATCCAATTTCACAGCATTTGAGAATTATGGTAATTGATGTAAAAAATAAATATCTATACAGATGGTTGTTGTCATAGTGATAGTTTTCTGTCTGTGCTGTTTCCATGGAAAGGGCAAGAAGTGACGATGGACTCTATTATGCAAATCTAACACTTGGACCGTTGTCCTTTGACGTAACAGAATGTTTAGTCTCTGAAAAGAATAAACAGGTTTAAGAAGTTTCTTTAGGTTTAATGGCAATTATATCAATGGGATCTTTACTTCTTTCCTTTTTTAGAAAAAATATAGATATATGTTAGATACTTTACCAAGCAATTTACCAATCACTTTTGTGTTCTGCTACTAGGTATTAATATTAACCGAGGCCTCCTATGCTTGGGAAATGTAATCAGTGCTCTTGGAGATGACAAAAAAGGTGGCTTTGTGCCCTATAGAGATTCCAAATTAACTCGACTACTTCAAGGTAAGCCCAAAGTGCCTCTAAAAATAGGAGAGAGTAACTTAGAATGATAGTGCTCAGAAAGCAAAGGTGAAACTGATAAAAGAAAAACAATAACAACAAAAAAATCCTCCCTATTTGGGCAATCACATACACAGCTATCTAATTGATAGAGACAGCAAGAGAGCTATTAGGATTCAGGTGTCTAAGATAATGAAAAAATATCTTCATATATGGCTTTGAGAGCCAAGAAATCTATGGAGTGCCAACTGCACGTAGTACTTTGCACCTGAAAATGAACTCGGTTACTGTTTAATTAATAGTGTTGCTAAGCAGAACTCTCTGCAGAGCTCAAACTCTACCAAGAGGGGGCATCCTAAGAATGTTTAATCTCAGTAGTGGCTTCATTTAACTTTCCTCAGCTACCTCCCAATTGTTTTAACCTGATTAACTACTGAATTCGTGGTTTCTCTTGGCAATAGGGACACATGAAATAGGATTCTAAAAGTTATATCATTTCACACATCAGAAACAAAAATCAAAATGGATCAAAGATCTAAATGTTAAAACAGAAACAATCTGCTAGAAAGTAAAATAGGCATAGAAATAGACAAGGACTTTCTGAACAGAACGCCATTTGCACAAAAAATAACATCAAGAATCAACAAATGGGATCATATCTAATTAAAAAAACCTTCTGCACAAAAAGGGAAACAACTAACAGAGTGAGGAGATAACCTAGAGAATGGGAAAAAATCTTTGCCAGTTACCACTCAGAGGACTAATATCTAGAATATATAAAGAACTCAAAAAATCAGACCCCCAGAATAAAAGACCTATTCAAAAAATGGGCATCTGAAATGAATAGACACTTCTCAAGAGAAGTACAAATGGCCAATACATGAAAAGATGTTCAGCATCTCTGGCCATTAGAGAAATGCAAATTAAAACAACACTGAGATTTCATCTTACTCCAGAAAGAATGGCTATCATCAAGGAGTCAAATAATAACAAATGCTAGAGAGGCTGCAGGGAAATAGGAACCCTTCTACGTTATTGGTGGCAGTGTAAGTTAGTACAGCTCTTATGGAAATAAGTATGGATATTCAAGGAACTGAAAATATAAAAATTCCATTCAACTCAGCTAATTCTCCTCCTAGGTTTTTTTTTTTTTTTAAAGGAGGAGAGGTTTATTTTGGTTCATAGTTTCAGTCCATGGACAGCTGGCTCCAAGGCAGAAACTCTCCAAGATAATCTTCCTGAAAGAGTTAAAGACATATTATAGTGATACAATGCATACCGATGTTTATAGCAGCACAATTCAGAATAGCTAAATCTTGGAAGCAGCCTATATGTCCATCGACAGATGAATGGATAAAGAAAACGTAGCATTGGGGCTGGGGATTTAGCTCAGCGGCAAAAGCGCCTGCCTGGCATGCGCAAGGTCGTGAGTTCGGTTCCCGGTACCGGAGAAAAACAAAAAAAAGAAAACGTAGCATTTATACACAGTGGAGTATTGCTCTGCCATAAAGGATAAACATTGCGTTATTTGTATGAAAATAGATGCACCTTGAGACCATAATATTAATTGAAATAAATCAGACACATGAGCTTAAATATTCTACGGTTTCTCTTATGTTAGAAACCCAAAATATAAATAAAGAACAAAATAAAAGATAGATAATAGGAAATAGGGGGACACATCTTTTGCAAAACAGGACGGAACCAAGAGATGTAAGGAGTAGGGAGGGTAAAGAGGGAGAAGGGAATAAAAAATAAGGTTTGTTATGTACATTTATTAGCTCCCATGAAGGATGTAATCATTATGTGCTGCAAGCATATACTAATAAAAAAATAAAACTTCAAAAAAAGAAATCTTAGTATAATAGAAAATTTGTAAGTATCTAAGAATTTTTACCTCTATCTTTTGAGTTTGAAGTCACCATCCCAAATGAACAGTTGGTGTTTGTATCCTGCTTGATTTCATTTTATGCATTATTCTTTATTGTTGTTTTTCAGATTCTCTAGGAGGTAATAGCCATACTCTTATGATAGCTTGTGTAAGTCCTGCTGATTCCAATCTAGAGGAAACATTAAATACTCTCCGCTATGCTGACAGAGCAAGAAAAATCAAGAACAAACCTGTTATTAATTTTGATCCCCAGACAGCTGAACTTAATCATCTTAAGCAACAGGTATAAAGGAGTTAGATTTTTATGGGAAAATTACAAGTATGTGAGGGGAATGATAGAGCTTTTGTTTCTCAGCTTCTCCTCTATCAGCAATTTTGAGGTGTTCCTTAAGCATTGTTAGAGTATTTCTTTTTTTTTTTTTTTTTTTTT